TGGGTAGGTGGGGTAGGCAGGGCTCAGAAGGTCACCACTCCCTGAAGTGCAGGAGAGGTAGGGCTGGGGGCCCTCCACTCACGGCTCATTCCTTTGGGGAGGTCACTATGGCATTCACGTCACAAATGCCAGGGGTTTAATTCCTGAGGAGGGATAAGGCAGCAGGTAATTTGGAGCTTAATAATGGTATCATTTCATGCCGGAGGTTGATTCTTGTTTCACTCTTCATCCACGCGATGTCACTTGCATGCATGACTGAATTTTTATAAATTTATTATTGAAAATTCACACTTAGCCATAAAGAGAACAGTGTTGTGAATTCCCATGTAGCAGTTAGCAGCATAACCTACCTGTAATTTTTAACTATCGGGGGTGGTTTTAGAGACCTCAAGGTCCGTGTGCTAGGATGGCCTGCTGGGAGCTTCTCAGGTGAGCAAGGTTAAGTGGAGGTACGGTGCTGTTATTGTACAAATAACAATTTGTGCTGCGCCCCGCTAGGTGCGCTGCAGGTGCTCACTTGAAGGTTGAAAAACTGCTGGCCGGGTCGTAGTGAACTCTCGGCTGGGGTGGCAGGAAAGCCGGCAGGTGGGTGAGTGCCGCTGGGCCTGAGATTCTCAGGGGTGCACACTGGGCCGAAGGTTCTGCAGCATGGTTTCTTCCCTTGTCCCGTGTCTCCTGGGCCTGCCTTTTTCTTTTTTCTTTTCAGTCTCAAACATACAAAAGCTACAGAGAGTGGTGAAGCAAATGCCCATGTTTGTGGCACCCAGGTTTTAACACAGGGAGGCGCTCAGAGAACTTCGTTGTCGGGCCTGACCGTGTTGTGGGGACATCAGACGGTGCGCTTGATGGCTTAGGTGTCGCTGGGCAGCGGGACCGTCGTGTTCACGGCTGGTCGTTGAACAGCACGTCGCTAGGACCATGTTACGCCCTCGTTCCTTACAGTCAGGTGCGTGTCTTGCTTCTGAGCAGCCCAGTAGATGAGGGACCCACAAGTAGTGTGTTCCCTGTCATGTAGAGAGGGGCCACAGTCTCTTTAGTGAGGGGATCCCCAAGGTGGACCCCTGGTCAGCCTGCAAGAGACAGGTAAGACTCCTGGGAGACGTGACAGTGCACTAGAAGCCAGATCCAGAGGGTGTGGGGTGTGGCCTGGGGTATGGTATGGCTTGATGGGAGAGTACTTGCCTAGTGAGACCTCTGGCTGTGTTATGGTTTATGTCTGTGTGTCCCCTCCAAAGCCTCATGCGACCATGGGGCAGGCTATTAGAGTTGAATGATTGTGAGTGTGAGAGCTACACCCGCCCTGGGGTGGATATGTAAGGGAGAGGAAAAGAGTGCTTGAGGACATTCCTCCCCCTTTCTGCCCTGGTGTGTGCTTGCAGCTGAGCTGTGTTCTGCCGCCCTGAGCTGTAGCCCTCTGCCATGTGCCACTCTGCCTTATAATCTGCCAAGTACGGACTGAAACTTCCACAAACTGTAAGCGAAATAAACCTTTCCTTCCTTAATTTTGGGCGTCAGGTATTTTGTCCCAGCAGCGAGAAAAAAGTAACCAAGACAGGCTGCATCCCTAGAACCTCAAAAAAAAAAAAAAAAAAAGTGCAGAAAATATAAGTGAGTCAGGCGGAGGGTGCTGGGAAGCGGGCCTGGCGGGTGCGGCCAAAGGCAGGAAATGGGGAGCTGCGAGCCGGAGATGTGTGTGAGGAGTGCGGCGGAGCAGCTGGGTGGCAGCCTCGGGGTCGCTGAGTCAGCCTAGGGACGAGCTCTGGCCATTTTTGGTGTCATAGCAGGCAGCAAGCTTGTCCTAGACGTGCTGAGCGTGCGGCTGTCTGACTTGCACTGCACACGTTAGGAGAGTCGTAGACCAGTAGCTCCTGTGTCGGGGAGGTGGAAACTGAGTCAGGAGCACTGGGAGGAAGCTGGGCTTTGCAAGGAGGCCACAGGCTGTCCTTTGGGAGGGGGAGCCCACGCGGGAGAAGAAGCCTCAGTGGAAGCCGTTCGAGACGAGCCACAGGGCTCAGAATAGAATTTCTGACAGTGAGCCTTCGGAAGAAGGACCGATGGGAGCAGTTAGGTAGGCTGGGGTGGGTGTGTCACGGAGGGGCTTGGCGCTGCCTGCCCTCCGAGGTCCCTCCTTGCTGTGTTCCGAGGCTGGAGGGCCGAGGGGGTGGTTAAGTGACCATGGGCATGTGCCAAGGGAGCCTGTGGAGGAGGTGCTGGCCTGTTGCCATGGGAACCATCTCTGCCGTGGGTTTCCATTTCCAAGGATGCCCTGGAAGGCAGTGAGCTCATTCTACCTGCAAGGTGATGAGTCAGCCCTGCCAGCCCTGCGTGCTCTCCGAGGCAAACAGGAACCCAGCAGCAGGCCCAGAAGAGATGCCAGTGTGAACTAACAGTCAGATCCCCCTGCCCCGTCCTCAGGCCACCCGTACCGCCCTGCCCTGCAGGGGGCTGCTGTCATTGGCGAGCAGACCAGGCGGTAAAGGTGGCTGCTGCCCATTCTGCATAATAATTGTTTTTTGTTTTTTGGGTTTTTTTGTGGTACCAGGGATCGAACTCCGGCCTTGCACTTGCCAGGCAGGCGCTTATGCCATTGAGCTATATCCCCAGCCCCTGCTGCCCATTCTGGTAACACCAGGATGGCGAGTGGAAGAGGCCTTCAGCCCACCTGCCCAAACTGTGTCCCTCGCAGAGGGGAGGCGCCTCAGCCAGTGTGGACTGTGCATCAGCCACAGCTGAGGGGGTGATTCGGGGGAGCTGAAGGCTTTGGAGGGAGCGTGCAGGCTGTGTGCACGTGCATGTGTGCATGTCCGTGTCCCCATGTCTGTACGCGTGTTCTGGAGGTAGGGTGAGGAACACTGCCAGGGGGGTGCAGCACTGGATCTGACACAGCAAGGCTGAGGAGCAGCTGGCTTATGAAAGTCCTAGGTGTCTGGAGGTCAGGGGTCATGGCCAGCGGTCAGGGGTCATGGCCGCAGCTACTCCTGCAGAGCCCTGTCCCCCATCGGGGCACGGCCCCTCCCCCAGGACGCCAGGAAATGCATAGCGTTGTGGGGGTGCGGGGGTGCTGGTGGAGGAGCAGTCCCTAAGGACCTTGTTCCCTCCCGTCTCATGGCAGCCTGCATGATGGTCAGAAAGGCCAGAGGAGCGCTGCCTTGTGGGTGGGGCAGCGGCAGAGATGGGCGTCCTAAAGCCTTTCATCTAAGCATCTGTGTGGACAAGCCTGTTTGTGTTTCTACCTTTATGGCTGCGTTATTTCTATAGCTGTAATCATAGTGCATATAAACTTAACTTGCCTCCGCTCGCTTGGCATTTAATCAGAAACATTTTTTTTTCTTATATTGCTACACAGCCTTTATGTTCCTTCTCTGGGGAAAGTGAGATCTAAGTATAGAGATTGCTTCATGAATGTATATTCATTTGTACTTTTCCTGTGCCTTCCCCAAAAGCACTTGAAATGGCTGCATGAAAAAAGGGGTTTTGTTTTTTGGTGATGGGGATTGAACCCAGGGCCTTTGCACTTGAGCTGTGTTGGACTTTTTAAATATGGAGACTGGATCTCACTAAGTTGCTAAGGTGCCCCAGCTGGGCTGGTAGGTACTTGGGATCCTCCTGCTTCGGCCTTCCTGAGTGCCAGGATTGCAGGCATGCGTCACCACCATTCCTGGCTGAACTTCTTCATCTTATGACAGAACAGTTGAATCCTGTGGCTGACAGCTTCCCATTTCTCCCACCCCCTCGGCCTTAGTAACTACTGCTCCCCTTACTGTTTCTGTGAGTTCAACTGTAGATCCCACATAGGAGTGAGATCATGCAGAACTTGACTTTCCGTGCCTTGTTTATTTCACTTAGCCTATCATTTAAAGTGGTTGACTTTTGTAAGTCAGCACTGATCCTAGTTCTAAGTTTCCTGGCTGCCAAAACAAAAAGGGAAATTGGAAATAAACATGCTTATTTCCTAGTAAGAGGAAGTATACCATTTCATGGGAGAGACAGTTTTTTGTGAGTACCAAATGCTAAGGTCTTGACCATTTAAGGAGAACTGTGCAGTGGGAGATGGTGTCAGTACTTCATGGAACGCACAGAAACCTCTGTTATATTCTTGGTTCTTGGATCAGCTGCAGGGAAAGCCAAGGCATGCTGCTCCGTCCTACTTGTCTGAAGGCGTTTCTGGGGAGCTGGAGTCCCTGAGACTCGGCTCTGCTGGCTTTAGACGCCTAACCCAAGATGCACAGGTAGTGGAGCTAATGGTCTGTGGGGCCGCTTGCTCTAAGTTCAGAGGTTTTTCTGAGGACTTTACTGAGAACTGTTTGCTTTGGGTGCTGGGCTGGTGTGGTACAGGTGCCATAGTTCGTCACCACTGGAGACTCTTCAGGGAGGAAATGTGCAGGCAGGTGGGGCTGGGCTGGGCCTGTCAGCTTTATTTATACAGTGCTTCAGGTCCTCTAGCAAGCAGTCTCCCCACGGTTGTACATTTTTGGATTTCCCAGCTTTTGGCTATCATAGATAATGCCTTTAAATGTCCTTTTCATGTGGACATTTTCCTGCATTTCGGGATAATGCCCAGGAGCTGGGTTAAGGAGATGAGCGTTTTTATAAAATTAACCAGTTGCTTGTTTTTTTTTTTTTTTTTAGTCTTTTGTAACCAGTTGCTTTTATTTTTTTGGTACTGGAAATCGAACTCAGGACCTTGTGCTTGCTCGGCAGGGGCCGTGCCGCTGAGCTCTATCCCTGGCCCAATCACTTGCTTTTAGAAGGCTGACTTAATGTGCTGCCAGCAATACACACCTATTTTTTTTCTAATTAAAAAGAAAAGCTAGGCATAGTGGCACAGTCCTAGAATCGTAGCTTGGGAGGCTGAGGTAGAGGATTGTATCATGAGTTTGAGGCCAGGCTGGATGATTTAGTGAAACTCTGTCTCAAAATGTAAACAGCAAGGGCTCAGGATGTAGCTCAGTGAAGAGTGCTTCCCTAGCACGTGAGGTCCTGGTTTGATCACTAGTACTGCTAAGTAAAGAGATCAAGGAGGGAAGGAAAGTCATCTTTATTAGAGCAAGCCTGGAAACTACAGTGAAGTGTACAGAAAAGAATTCGAATTGCCTGAGTTTCTAGCACTTGAGAAGTATGGGGTAGGTGTGCTGAAACAGCGCACCCGCTGCCTCGTCAGGCAGGAGTGCGTGTGGGACAGAGCCCCGTTAGCAGCTGCCCTTGGGCATCCCCTGTACTGGAGAGGGCTGATTTTCTTTGAAGCTAACCCTCTTCTCAGCCACTGACTGACCTGTCTGGCCCTGGGCTTTGTTTCTGAGGTTCAGAAGGCACTGTTAGGATTTTAATCTAGTGCTACATACTTAGAAGGTGGGTTAGGAAACTGAATTTCAGTACGTGGCAGGCAGATGTTAAATTCTACCACCCGCTAGCATTACAGCAGATTCCTTGGTGGCCGCTGCACCCCGGGCGAGACCTGGGGCGGGTAGGGCGCCCCGCGGATGATGAGCTTCGGAGGAAGAAGTGGTCCAGAAGTGGAATGTGTCTGAGGCTGTTTTGCCCGGATCTGGCTCCTGATTGCATTCCCCCAGTTCCCGTCTGTCTGTGAGGCCCGCCTGCAGGGCCGGGGTGTTCAGTCCTGGGGAAGGGAAGTGGGAGGCTCGTGAGTAAGAGCTTACGCCTGCTGTCTCCGTGTCCGGCTCCCACTTCCCCTCTGTCCTTCTCAGAGCTCAGCGTCCTGTGGTTCAGGTACTTGCCGTCCTCCACGCCCCGGTGCCTTCCTGAACGCTTGACGCCACCCCCAGCCCAGAGCGTCACTCCCACGGCTGGGTCACTCCACTGTCACCTCAGGCATTACGTGTCTGGCGGAATTACCCACAAGCTGGGACAGAAAGAGAGGTGGTCTGGTCATGGGATTCCTTGTCCTCAAACGGAGTGAGACCTCAGGCCCTACGAGCCCTAAGACTCTCTAGGTGTCACAGGGGTGAATGTGTGGGGCACACTTGGTGCTGCGTACATGGCAATGCCATATCCAGAGGGCTGTCTCATGTAGCGTGTAGAAGCTGATGCCCAGAAGGTCCCTGTGTCCCGCAGCCCTGGCCATTGCATGGGTTGGATGGGTTCAGGGCATAGCTGCAGGGCCACAGGTGTCCCTCAGGGGTGGGAGATGAATGCTTCAAGGGTAGCATCCTAGCCCTAACCCGGACCCTCTACCACGGCAGCGCTGTCGGGCTGTCTGGGAGATGTCCCGGGGGGTGTGCGTCCTGTGGCCAGCCTGGCAGACACACAGTTAGGAGCCGTCATCCACTTTCCAGGGCCTGTGGATGGTCAGGACTTTGGGATTCAGCAGAGCGAGTCTGGTTTGGGGATGTTTCTTTGGGGGCTGTGACTGAGAAGCCGCTGGAATGTCTGCGCTGCTGTTTGTGCTGCTGGGGTAAGGAGCTCCCCAGCTTGTGGCCACGTGGACGGCTGGGATTGATTTGTTCTGTCTGGCGTGTCAGACGTTGCCACTTCCTTGCCCCTGCCTGCCACAGTGAGCGTGGCCTGCCCCAGTGAAAACTCATGGTGATCAGGAGACAGAGCCGGTGTCTTGGGAGGAGATGCTGACTTCGTGCGGGGATCAGCAAAGTGGGGGTTCCTTTACCATGAGGATTGGAGGCAGGTCGTGCCATGGGGGGTCTCCTGCCTCATCTCACCTGTATTAAATGGTCACTACTCTAGGGGATCATAACTTCATTTTTTTTTTTTTTTTTTTGTACTGGGAATCGAACTCAGGGCCTCGAGCTTGCCAGGCTGGCGCTGTGCCACTGAGCTACATCGCCGACCCCTAGGGAACTGTAACTTCCCTGTGCTGTGGACCACCAGGGACACATCCAGACCTAGGAACCAAATGCTCCAGTCCGATCCATCAACTGCATTTCTAGCGGCGCTTCATTTTTAGGTAAAGCTGTAATTTAGACTAAAATTCATTAGCCACCCCAAATGGGAATCGGGTATTTTTTCTGGGCCCCAAGTCTCAGTTTGCTAGGAGAGAAAGGAGAGGAAGTCTTACAGCTTTCCTGGCCGGCGCGTGGAGTCGCCAGCTATCTGCAGGCCTGCTGTAAAGCAGCATTGCGGTGATAGGGGAGGGGATCATCTTGATGAGTTTGATTCATCCTCAGGGATTCAGGGAACCGTCTATACTTGGCAGACAGCCCACACTGCCCACTGCTGTGCTGTGGCCCCTTGCCTGCCACCAAGCGTAAATATCTGTGTCCTCCGCTGACCTGCCCAGCGCTGTTGTTTGGTTTCATGTAGGAAGGGCTGCGGACTCTGCATCCTGCCCTGTTCCTCTTCCCCCAGCCGTCTTTAGTGACCTCTGGTCCTCCAGGCCCTGCTGGGCCAAATTCTGACAGTGGCTGTTGTCTGGGTTCTGGCCTCCACCCAGGCAGCCTGCCCGCAGGGTTTGAGCCAGCCCTGAACTCTGGGAACACCTCTTCTTTGTTGTGAGGCCGGAGCCTCCAGCCTGGGGATCTGCAGCGGCTATATTTGGCTGGCACAGACCTACACTGTCCCCTTAGGCCAGCCCCGAGGGCCTGTAGGACTCAGTGTAACAGGTGGACCCCTAAGATTCCATACTACTAGGGTTCATTTTGAGGGACTGTGGATCAGGGAGCCCTCTGGCTGTTTCTCTGCCTGGTGAGAACTTCTCAGGAACGATGTGGGGAGGACAGAGCAAAACGGGTCAGGGAGCTCAGAGATAAGAGGGCAGCTGAGGGTGGGCGATGGGCATGGAGTATGGAGGGGAGGGTACCCTGGCAGCCACCACAGGTTGGTGGGTATCAGTGGGCCAGGACTACCAGGAAGATTGTCTGGAAGAGGCAGGGTGAAAAAGATCTCCAGGGTGCTTAATCTGGAGGCAAAATCTTTAGCACCACTTAACTGATTCCACCTCCAGATCTGAGTCAGTCCTAAGGAAGCTGTCCAGCTGAAATAAAGACATGCTTAGAAATGCTCTCTGTGTGCTACCAATAAGAGCAAAATGGAAAAAAGCACTTCCGCATCTAACCGACTTTAGGGGAGGAGTTTAATAAGCCATCCATGATGGTGGAATATTATTGGGATTGTTACAAATGGTAGTTAGGAAGATTATGTAGGAACAAAATAGTCAATGGACTGCTAAAAGTGGGGGAACACCAAATTGTATGTATAGTAGAATGGGTTGCGACTGTAAAACTAGCTTAGATAAGAAAGACGATAAGCAAAAATGAAAGTGGTTACGTTAAGGATATAGAAGTAAATAGTACTTAAATTTTATGGCAAGCCAGGGAATTTCTGTCTGAAGCATCATCTATCTTTAAGTATTTTTTTGCTATCACATGTCTTTTTATCTTGTGTAACAACAGCTTGAACTTGGTGAGTTTGTTGTTTTTATTTTGGAGACAGGATCTTCTTATATAGCTGAGGCTGGGTTTGAACTTGCTGTGTAGCCTAGGCTGATCTTGAACTCCTGATCCTCCTCAGTGCTGGGAGTACATCTGGTGCTTGGTGAGATTTAACCATCCGTTCTAAGCACTTTCAGTGCAGGGTCCATAACGTACACACAGAGTATAAGGTGTGGCCTAAGCAGGTATGTGTGTGTGTGTGTGTGTGTGCGCGCGCGCGCGCATGCATGCGCCTTTCTGGGGAGACCAGATGTCCCTGTCTTGGGCAGGCTGATTGATGCTTAGTCCCAAGGCATGGCTCTGGCGGGAGGTGGAGGACATGGGAGGTGAGGGTGGGAAGTGGGAGGAGTCTGACCTGTCAGCCTGGTTGGAAAGCTCCATAAGAACTAGAAAGCTTTGGGGCTGGGGATTTAGCTCAGCGGCAAAGCACCTGCCTGGCAAGCGCAAGGTCGTGAGTTCGGTTCCCGGTACCGGAGAAAAACCAAAAAAAAAAAAAAGAACTAGAAAGCTTTCAGGACAGGGAGGCAACCAGCCTGGCATTGGGGAAACCCAGCAAGACCAACAGAAGCCAGTTGTCCTAAGATGGATTTTGTTGAGATTCTCACCACTTTGTAGGAGCTCAAAGTTCACTGTAACGCCTGTAATCCCATTTTCCTTTTTTTTTTTTTTTTTTGTAAGGCAGGGTCTCACTATGTAGTCCAGCCTGGCCCTGAACTCACCGTGTTAGCCCCAGGCTGGCCTCTACCTCTAGGCAATCCTGCCTCAGCCGCCACGCCCAGCTACACCCCTTTTTTCTAGACAATAGAAGCTGAAGACAGGAAATGAATTCTTCTGGGAATCCCTGGAGTCCTAGGGGATGGGGCGGTGTGCACGCTGGTTCCCCCTGTGTAGGCTGTGCCCCGGTGCCAGGCCCCATCCGTGCTGACTCTGAGGGTGAGTCTCAAACTAGGGAAGCCTCCCCCACACCCCAGATTTACCCTTTTGGTCCCTCTGGGCTGGTGGTGACCTTGGTGGTAGAACATCTACATTCCTTCTCCGGTGACCTCACCTTTCAGATCTGCCCCTGCCCGTGTGGGTGCCAGGCGCTCCCGGGGGCCGCCACCCACACTTGCTGTGTGGGGGACTTTGACATTTTGTTTAAGTGGGGATGTGATGGAGGGTGTGTAAGGGGGAGAGCCGGAGGTGCTGGCTCTTTAAGGCCGGACCTGCCAGTGAATTTTGGCAGAGGAGATACTGAGTATTAATTTTAGGGCCAAGGAGGGGGTGGGGGAAAGTCCCCACCACATCTGGTTTGTGTTAAGCTCTTCCCTTTAGAAAAGGGCTGTTTTTATGGCTAAACTTGGCGGAGGTGGGGGTGCGGGGAGAGGCGCCGCTTACCCCGCTGCAGGCCATATGGCACCGGGACAGTGTAAGTAGCTGCCTTCCTGTCCTCCGAGCCCATCCCGAGCCAAACTGCTCCGACTTTGAGAAAACTGTGACATCTGTTTTCCCCCAGAAGTTAGAGCAGGATGCTTGCCTTCACGCAGCCTGGCAGCTGGACCTTGCCCGGCTGGAGCTGTGTCCCTGGGGCCTCTGAACTCCTCGGAGTTGGCCGACGGTCAGCTCGTCTGTCTGCAGTCTGCAAGTCCTGGCTGGGTCGGGGCACTGCAGGGTCCAAGCGGGGGCCACAGGAAGCTGCTGCCCAAGGATCTCTCCAACAGGCCTCCCTCGCGTGCTCCCAGGATTGAGAGGCCGATCGACACCTAAGGTTCCCAACATGGACTCTCCCCTGGAGGGTCTACAGACACCAGAACCCATACGCCTGCCGGTTAAGAAACAGTCCCAAGGGCTAGAAGCTCCTCCTCCAAGGTCAACTAGCAAGCCAGTGGCATTCTCAGGACTCAGGCCAGACTTCCCAGACTCGGTTTGCTTCGGTGCTTGCAGGTCCTTGTGGCTCTCTTCCCACCTTGCGGTTCGTGGTAGCTTCGTGCTCTGCACCCTCAGAGGGCTGCTCTGGGGTCAGGGGGTAGGGAAGCAGGCTTGGAAGTGTGGAAGAGTTCACAGGCGTGGACACCTCCAAGGCTGGGCTTGCTCACCATGGTTTCCCAGCTGCAGCATATGGTGTAAGAGCTTAGAGGAGAGTAAATGACTGAGACAGTAGATTGCGTGGCCTGGGTATGGGTTCAGGCGGAACTGTTTTTTTTTTGTTTGTTTGTTTTTCTCTGGTACCGGGAATCGAACTCACGACCTTGTGCTTGCAAGGCAGGCGCTTTGCCGCTGAACTAAATCCCCAGCCCCTAAGCAGAACTGTGGAGGACATGGGAGGTGAGGGTGGGAAACTCCTCTGCCATGAGGGATACCAGGCGTGTCTCTGTATCCAAAACTCTCCTTGTTCCGAAGACTGCGTCCTCTCTTTCCCCGTCTCTTCTCAGTCCCAGATGTCATCCAGCTCTTACCGAAGCCTGAAGTCTCAGAGCCGTAAAGGCCCTGAGATATCACTGTCCCATCCCCTTCAAGTTGAGGAAACCCAGGCAATTCCACACAGCTAGTCAGTGGGACTTGGGGACCAGAGCCCAAGCCTGTGACTCCCTAAGCTCCCATGCTCCCTTCTGTATATTGATACTGAGAACTGAGGGTCCCATTCTCGGCGACTCCCTTGGGTGGGTGAGTTGCCTCGGCTACCCCATCATGGAGGATGGGGTGGGGGGTGTCCCCTGAGCAGGCTGAGTAAAAAAGGCTGGGCTCCATTGGGCCAAGTCATCCCCTTGTGCCTTCCTAGAAAGAGAAGGCAGGCTGGCTGGCTTCCTTCCGGGGAACTTCTGCAGCCTGAGTCACCCTGGTGTCAAAGCCAGGGTGGGGTGTGGTGGAGACTGTCACCCCTGTCCTGCGACTGGGGTGTGTGTGCTCGCACTTCTCTCTTGCCCTTCCACAAAGCGCCCAAGCAGCGTGTCTGGTCTGCCCCCCTGCTTCTCAGGCTGGGTGGTGTTTTGCCAAGAAGGGTCAGGACAACACGGCCCTTACTGTAGCTGGGAGTTCTTAAACACCCTTGTTAGAAACGGTCTTGGTTTACAGAACTTTCATTGTCCATTTGGTTTTATCATAAAACTTTGTGGTCTGCTTGTGGCAAAATAAAAAAACAAGTCCCCACAGGTAACACCAGTTGTTTTTTTTTTTTCTGTGCCACATATAAAGTTTTATGTGCAATTAAACATATATTTTTTGGGGTGGATAAAACATAAAATTTAACTTTTTTTTGAGGCAGTGTCTCACTATGTATTTCAGGCTGACCTTCAGCTTCTGAGTGCTGGGATTACAGGTATGCACAACCACACCCAGCTCCACAATTTTACATTTTAAAGGTTTTTATGTTGCGTGGTGCTGGGGATTGAACCCAGGGCCTCACTCATCCTAGCCAAGCACTCTACCACTGAGCTACATCCCCAAGCCATTTTGTTTGTTTGTTTGTTTGTTTTGGTTTTTCTCTGGTACCGGGAACCGAACTCACGACCTTGCGCTTGCCAGGCAGGTGCTTTGCCGCTGAGCTAAATCCCCAGCCCTCCCCAAGCCATTTTGTTTTATGTCAAGACAGTCTCGCTCATTGCCCACAATGGTCTCAAACTTGCAGTCCTGCCTCAGCCTCCCATGCAGCTGGAGTTACAGGCCTGTGGCACCATACCTGGTCATTTTTAGGTATGTAGTTCAGTGGCATTAAGTACATTCATAGTGTCGCACAACTATCACCGCCATCCGTTTCCAGAGCTTTTCATCTGCTAAGCAGAGTCAACTCTCTGCCCTCCTTTCCCCTTAGCCTCTGGTAGAGAGGGAGACTTCCTGTCTATAAGTTTTACTACTCTCCGTTCCTTGGGTAAGTGGAATCACACCCTGTTTGCTGTTTTGTGACTGGGTTATTTCACTGACCCTAGTGTCTTCAGGGTTTGTCCACACAGTAGTATGTGTCAGACTTTCCTTCCTGTTGAAGGTTGGATAGTATTTCATGGAATACTGTCGCATTCTGATGATCTGCTCATCTGCTGGTAGACATTTGGGCTGCTTCCGCCTTTCCACTGTTGTGAATAATGCAGTGGTGAGTGTGTGCAGCAGCCTGTGTCCCTGCATTTGTGTGTGTGAACCGGAAGTGGATTGCTAAATTTTATGTATCTACTGACGGCCTCTCAGGCAGGTTGAGCCCCTCAGGCGGGGCTGACAGATCAGCAGAAGGCCTTGGACGCCACTCTCTCTCCTCCCCTGGTCTGCCTGCCCCGGTAGCTGTCTGCAGAGGCCGGAGGGCTGGCCAGCTGGATCTCTAAGGACACACCATGTCCAGTGCTTGCTGGCTGCCACACGGCTGGGGGAAATCTGGGGCTGAGGAGCTAGTGAGAAAGCCCAGCATGTTCCGGTGGAGAAGAGTGCTTGGGGCCAGGTCCTGCCTCTGCCTTTCTCTGGCATTAGACTTGGGGAAGGGGGCTGCAGCCTTCTGTGCGCCTTGGGGAGGAGTGGCTTGCTGGGAACCCCAGGGCTTGCTGTCCTTTCTCTTCCTGTCCCCAGGCAGTTTCCCAGAGGGTCAGTGTGTCACATTTTTGGCCAGGGAGTTCTACAGACTCAGGCAGAACTTCCCAGTTTCCTTTGGAGCAGAGTTCAAGCTCTTCTTGCTAACAGCAGGGCCCCTGTCTTGATTTCTGTGCTCACCACGTGTTGGAACTAACTAACTCTGAAGTGAGCCCTTGGATCAAGTCAGTCCCTAAGTGCAGCCCCACCCTGACCCCGGAACTGGTCTCTACCTGCTGCAGGTGTGGGCTGCACTCTGCGCCTTGCTCCTGATCCCAGCAGGGATCCGAGCTCGGCCCCCTCTGTCAGCTAATGCTAACTCCCCCAGAGTGAGGCCATTTCTTGCTCTTCCGTGGGGCCTGGTGGTAGCTGGTCATGTTCCCCCACAGCGATGCTCCGTGACTTGTGACAAGGTTACCTTCCAGTAAGCCCATGGTAAGTTGAAAATATCCTAAGTCAAAACTGCATCCAGCGCATCTCACTCAGCGACCACCCAGCTTAGCGGCCTGGTCCCTTGTGAGTGCAGGGCTCCCTGGGAGGTGTGACTCACTGCCGCTGGCCAGCACCCTGAGAAAGCGTTGCACTGCGCACTGCTAACCCCAGGAAGGCTTCAGATTCAGGATCCCAAGAACACTTCCTGGCGAATGGGTGTCACTTGAGAGCCACTGCTGTGAAAAAATGGGAAGAGCATGCACACGTGGTGGTGCGTGCCTGTAGTCACAGCTCTTGGGAGGCTGAGGCAGGAGGATCGCTGAGTTCAAGGCCAGCCTGGGCTAGGTAGTGAACTCAGGACTAGCCTGAACTACACAGCAAGACCCTGTCTCAAAAAAAAAAAAAATCTGAAGTGCAACTATCATAAGTTGGCAGCATCTGTGTTGAATGGATGCTAAAGGAGAGAAGGAGAACAGCAGTGGAAAGAACCTGGGTTTTGGTGTTGGGGAACTCCGCATTTTGGTTTGGGCCCAGCTCTTTGCTAGCTGGGTTTACTCTCCTGAGCCTCAGCTTTTCCCATCTCTAAAATGGGGAGCAAAGAAACCTATGTCCTAATAAGCTCACTGTGAAGACTGTGACCCTGGGTATTAAGTGTGTAGGAAACAACTGCCAGCTGCTGTCGTCCTTGTGTGCTCCCCTGCGTGGGAGGGGCTTGGGGAGCACTGGGAGCCCATGTGCTTTCCCTCTGCCTCCCACACTGCTGCCTGACAGGAGCAGGGGGCTGGCTGGGTGCAGCTCCCCGCTGCCGGAAGAAATCACTTCCTCACCAGGGTGATGGGAGTTGCCGGACCCTGGCACAGGGCCGGCCGCGTGCTCTAAGCAGCGCCTGTGTGTGAGGGTGAGGAGGCCCCCGGGGAGCTATGGACTGCGTTCCCGAAGCACATTGTTCTTGGATCTTGGACACCCTTCCTTGCTGGACCCTCTGAGAGCCCCTCACTGCAGCGTCAGGCCTTTTGCCGAGACCGTCCTACTCCCGTAGGTTGCTGTACGCGTCATAGATGGGTCCTGCTACCCTTTCCAGATTGCAGACTCCAGGACCTTGGTCGCTCATATTGGGGACAGTGGCCTCCATCTCCAGGCAGTAGGGGCCCCGTTTGTTAGAGGGTGAGGGGAACCACACCTGTGTGGGCGCTGCGCGGGCCCAGGGTAGGGACTAGGAGAGCAAACCTACTTGGGGCTTCCTTCTGCTCTCTCTCGCTGCGGGAGGAGGGTCTTGCCCAGGCTGAGGGTGGTCGGGCGGGAAGAGCCAGGCTTTGGACTACAGTGCTGGGTGGAGGGAGCCGAGCCCTCTTCCTGTGAGCCCATTTCTTCATCTGTAAAAAGAAGGCAGCCTGTCTCGCAAGGTTGTTGCCGGGCTTAACTGAGGTGATGGAAGTAAACCCCCCAGGCTGGTGTCCTGCACTTAGGGGCTGCCTAGATGTGGACAGATGTCAGTACTGCATGGATGAACCAAAGAGAGCTCTTAGCAGACCTTCCTTCTTGTCCGTGTGCAAGCTGAGGTGCTACAGGCCTCAGTGCCTTGCTCTAGCCTGGAGTTGCCCAAGCTTGCCTGATTACAGGATTCACCAGAGTACGGGAAGAGTGCGACGTGTGGGCCCCACCCAGGGTCCTGAACCAGCGTGGCGGGCGCTGCTGGGATTGGTGTTTTCAGCCTTTGTTGGGGGTGGGCCCATTTTGGGGGTGGCACCCCTCAGGTGGCTGTCACCTCTCAGACGGCTGTCACTTGATCCTCACGGAAACCCGGGGAGTGAGGCCGGTGTGGCCCCCGTGGAAAGCGGGGGGCTTGATAGGTGTGGAAGCTGAGGTCCTCATCCCCTGCTGGTGGGACCGGAATTAGAACCCGGGTCTCCGGGTGCTTGTGTTCATTGTTCCTGCAGACATTCCGAGTGCTGGTAGTAGCTCCTTAGAGTGTTCAGTGATGACACACAACTGCCTGCGGCACGTGTGCCCCAGGTTCGCCTCCGCTGCCTAGAGCATGGAGGACTTGGCGGGTGGAGAGAGACGGGGTAACAGGAAGGTGAGTAACAAGGCGGCAGTGACTGCGCTAGGGGCTCGCAGAGACCAGCCTGAGGGGCAGGTGGTGAGGTGGGACGCCGCCCCGGGTGAGCTCCCGGAAACTGAGTTCTGGCTGAGCGAGGTGGGCTGTGGGCTGCTTCCCGGAGCCACTGGGAATGAACAGGTGCCACCGTGAAGCAAGGTTAGACAGGCACGGTTTTGGGTGGCATGGGGCAGAGGGACAGGGCCGGGGCACCTGCCCGGGGCTGCTGAAGCCCTGTGGGAAGGCAGTGCCCACAGCTCCTCTCCCCTCATTTCCTTCGTGTGGGGTGCCTTCCAGAGGCCTGGGCAGGCTGGCTCCTCTGTTGAGCTGGGTAGCTGGGATTGGGCTCAGCCAGGCGCAGGGCCTGCCACCCTGCTCGCTGCCTCACTCCCTAGGGGTTCTGGGGTGTCGTGGAGGGTCTTTCTTAGGTCCTCTAGCTTACATGAAAGAGACTCTGGAGAACAGTTTTACCCTCTGCCCCCCGACTGTCCCGGGTGAGGTAGGCTTGTGTAGGCCGTGGGGTGGACGGGCCTGGCTGGTACACAGTGGTCTCCTCCTAGTGCCAGCGGGGTCAGGAGGGAGGGGAGTGGCACAGTCTGGGCTCGGTGCACCTGCTCCGAGAAACTCTTTGTTGTGACCCTGAATGACGTCGGAGCTTCTCTGCAGCTCAGTTTTCTCATCTGCAAAATGAAGTTAGCGAGGGTCCCTCTCAGGATGGCTGGGAGGATTGAGGTAGGGTGGCTGGGAACAGCGTCCTGAAGCTGGAGTCCTGCTCCTGCCTTCCCACCAGGCTGTCTGGCCGCTGTGGAGTCCGGGCAGGGAGCAGAGCGTGGGGTGGGTGGGACATCGTGTCCGTGGACGGCAGCTTCCCAGTTCGCTCCTCTTGGCTCAGGTGTGAGATCAGGGCTAACTTCTCCCAGGTATCGCTCGTGTCCACCCACCTGTCTCCAGCACCACCGAGGTCTGAGCCACCTTTGTCTCCATCTCGCCTTTGCTGCTGTCCCGTCCACCCCAGTGTCTTCTCGCTGCAGTCAGAAGTCTCTTTCTGAGATGCCGGTGTCATTGTGTGTCACCCACACCTGGCTCCCGCACCCACCTTGCCAACCCTCATTCGTTCACTTCAGCTGAAGTCAGATAAAACCTCTTCAGTGGCTCCCATTGTTCTCAGGGGAACTAATCGTAACATCCTGTGGGTGCCCATGTTCTCCTGTGGCCAGCTGACTCAGGTGCTTCCTCCCCTCCCCCTCCCCCTCCCCTC